ACATCAGTGTTGTGTAGATAGTTGTTTGACTTATGTCGTTTTGCTCAGTCTATAGTTTTATATGTAGACATCAGTGTTGTGTAGATAGTTGTTTGCCTTTTGTCGTTTTGCTCAGTCTATAGTTTTATATGAAGACATCAGTGATTTGTAGATAGTTGTTCGCCTTTTGTCGTTTTGCTCAGTCTTTAGTTTTATATGTAGACATCAGCGTTTTGTAGACAGTTGTTTGTGTTTTGTCGTTTTGTTCAGTCTATAGTTTTATATGTAGACATCAGTGATTTGTAGATAGTTGTTTGTGTTTTGTCGTTTTGTTCAGTCTATAGTTTTATATGAAGACATCAGTGATTTGTAGATAGTTGTTTGCCTTTTGTCGTTTTGCTATCTTTAGTTTTATATGAAGACATCAGTGATTTGTAGACAGTTGTTTGCCTTTTGTCGTTTTACTCAGTCTTTAGTTTTATATGTAGACATCAGTTTTTTGTAGATAGTTGTTTGTCTTTTGTCGTTTTGCTCAGTATTTAGTTTTATATGTAGACATCAGTGATTTGTAGACAGTTGTTTGCCTTTTGTCGTTTTGTTCAGTCTTTAGTTTTATATATAGACATCAGAGATTTGTAGACAGTTGTTTGCCTTTTGTCGTTTTATTTAGTCTTAAGTTTTATATGTAGACATAAGCGTTTTGTAAATAGTTGTTTGCCTTTTGTCGTTTTGCTCAGTCTTTAGTTTTATATGTAGACATCAGTGATTTGTAGACAGTTGTTTGCCTTTTGTCGTTTTGTTCAGTCTTTAGTTTTATATGTAGACATCAGTATTGTGTAGACAGTTGTTTACCTTTTGTCGTTTTACCCAGTTTTTAGTTTTATATGTAGACATCGGTGTTATGTTGATAGTTGTTTGTCTTTTGTCGTTTTGTTCAGTCTTTAGTTTCATATGTAGACATCAGCGTTTTGTAGATAGTTGTTTGCTTTTTGTGGTTTTGCTCAGTCTTTAGTTTTATATGTAGACATCAGTGATTTGTAGAAGGTTGTTTGCCTTTTGTCGTTTTGCTCAGTCTTTAGTTTTTTATGTATAGACATCAGTGATTTGTAGATAGTTGTTTGCCTTTTGTCGTTTTGCTCAGTCTTTAGTTTTATATGAAGACATCAGTGATTTGTAGACAGTTGTTTACCTTTTGTCGTTTTGCTCAGTCTTTAGTTTACAATATATAGACATCAGTGATTTGTAGATAGTTGTTTGACTTTTGTCGTTTTGCTCAGTCTTTAGTTTTATATGTATAGACATCAGTGATTTGTAGACAGTTGTTTGCCTTTTGTCGTTTTGTTCAGTCTTTAGTTTTATATGTAGACATCAGCGTTTTGTAGATATTTGTTTGCCTTTTGTCGTTTTGCACAGTCTTTAGTCTAATATGTAGACATCGGTGTTATGTTGAAGTTGTTTGACTTTTGTCGTTTTGTTCAGTCTTTAGTTTTATATGTAGACATCAGCGTTTTGTAGATAGTTGTTTACCTTCTGTCGTTTTGCTCAATCTTTAGTTTTATATGTAGACATCAGTAATTTGTAGACAGTTGTTTGCCTTTTGTCGTTTTGCTCAGTCTTTAGTTTTATATGTATAGACATCAGTGATTTGTAGATATTTGTTTGCCTTTTGTCGTTTTGCTCAGTATTTAGTTTAATATGTAGACATCGGTGTTATGTTGAAGTTGTTTGCCTTTTGTCGTTTTGTTCAGTCTTTAGTTTTATATGTAGACATCAGTGTTGTGTAGACAGTTGTTTGCCTTTTGTCGTTTTGCCCAGTTTTTAGTTTTATATGTAGACATCGGTGTTATGTTGATAGTTGTTTGTCTTTTGTCGTTTTGTTCAGTCTTTAGTTTTATATGTAGACATCAGCGTTTTGTAGATAGTTGTTTGCTTTTTGTGGTTTTTCTCAGTCTTTAGTTTTATATGTAGACATCAGTGATTTGTAGACAGTTGTTTGCCTTTTGTCGTTTTGCTCAGTCTTTAGTTTTATATGTATAGACATCAGTGATTTGTAGATAGTTGTTTGCCTTTTGTCGTTTTGCTCAGTCTTTAGTTTGATATGAAGACATCAGTGATTTGTAGACAGTTGTTTGCTTTTTGTCGTTTTGCTCAGTCTTTAGTTTACAATGTATAGACATCAGTGATTTGTAGAAAGTTGTTTGACTTTTGTCGTTTTGCTCAGTCTTTAGTTTTATATGAAGACATCGGTGATTTGTAGACAGTTGCTTGCCTTTTGTCGTTTTGCTCAGTCTTTAGTTTTATATGTAGACATCAGTGATTTGTAGATAGTTGTTTGACTTTTGTCGTTTTGCTCAGTCTTTAGTTTTATAGGTAGACATCAGTGTTGTGTAGAAAGTTGTTTGCCTTTTGTCGTTTTGCTCAGTCTTTAGTTTTATATGTAGACATCAGTGATTTGTAGATAGTTGTTTGCCTTTTGTCGTTTTGCTCAGTCTTTAGTTTTATATGTAAAGACATCAGTGATTTGTAGACAGTTGTTTGCCTTTTGTCGTTTTGTTCAGTCTTTAGTTTTATATGTAGACATCAGCGTTTTGTAGATATTTGTTTGCCTTTTGTCGTTTTGCTCAGTCTTTAGTTTAATATGTAGACATCGGTGTTATGTTGAAGTTGTTTGCCTTTTGTCGTTTTGTTCAGTTTTTAGTTTTATATGTAGACATCAGCGTTTTGTAGATAGTGGTTTACCTTTTGTCGTTTTGCTCAGTCTTTAGCTTTATATGTAGACATAAGTGATATGTAGATATTTGTGTGCCTTTTGTCGTTTTGCTCAGTCTTTAGTTTTATATGTAGACATCAGTGATTTGTAGACAGTTGTTTGACTTTTGTCGTTTTTCTCAGTCTTTAGTTTTATATGTAGACATCAGTGATTTGTAGATAGTTTTTTGACTTTTGTCGTTTTGCTCAGTCTTTAGTTTTATATGTAGACATCAGTGATTTGTAGACAGTTGTTTGCCTTTTGTCGTTTTGCTCAGTCTTTAGTTTTATATGTAGACATCAGTGATTTGTAGACAGTTGTTTGCCTTTTGTCGTTTTGCTCAGTCTTTAGTTTTCTATGTAGACATCAGTGATTTGTAGATAGTTGTTTGACTTTTGTCGTTTTGCTCAGTCTTTAGTTTTATATGTAGACATCAGTGATTTGTAGATAGTTGTTTGCCTTTTGTCGTTTTGCTCAGTCTTTAGTTTTATATGTAGACATCAGTAATTTGTAGATAGTTTTTTGCTTTTTGTCGTTTTACGTTATTAGCCATGATTTTGTCGTTTTTCGTTATTAGCAATGATTTTGTCGTTTTTCGTTATTGACCATGATTTTGTCGTTTTTCGTTATTGACCATGATTTTGTCGTTTTTCGTTATTGGCCATGATTTTGTTGTTTTTCGTTATTGACCATGATTTTGTCGTTTTTCGTTATTGACCATGTCGTTTTTCGTTATTGACCATGTCGTTTTTCGTTATTGACCATGATTTTGTCGTTTTTCATTATTGACCATGATTTTGTCGTTTTCCGTTATTAGCCATGATTTTGTCGTTTTTCGTTATTGACCATGATTTTGTCGTTTTTCGTTATTGACCATGATTTTGTCGTTTTTCGTTATTGGCCATGATTTTGTCGTTTTTCGTTATTGGCCATGATTTTGTCGTTTTTCGTTATTGACCATGATTTTGTCGTTTTTCGTTATTGACCATGATTTTGTCGTTTTTCGTTATTAGCCATGATTTTGTCGTTTTTCGTTATTGACCATGATTTTGTCGTTTTTCGTTATTAGCCATGATTTTGTCGTTTTTCGTTATTGACCATGATTTTGTCGTTTTCGTTATTAGCCATGATTTTGTTAATCTATCATCTTCTGATCAGTTTCTTCGTTCGGTATCTTCCACCTTTTTTTCACTTCGATATAAGAATTTTGAATGTGTAACTACGATGCTCTCACTTTGTGACGACTATTTCCCTGAAAAAATGATAATTTGTCATAATCGACCTTGGAAAGTAACACATTTGTAATAACAAAATACGCCTTTATCGAAATTTTAGAAATGCATAAAACAAATTCAAATTTTGTTTTTGATGGGTCCTCATTGGGATACAATAGTACATTCGATTAATAAAACCTGGTTCATTCGACGGCGAAATCATTTACAAGAAACGTATGTTTCAAGTGGGAACTTTATGTTAGATAAAACAAAACTCTCATTTATTGATGATAAATCTCAAGAGCATTGCTTGATCTAATAAACCTTTTTATGGATTTTATTCAGGGAGTTTTATGCTCTTCGGAATACATCATTCTAAATCGAGTATGTAGGCTAAGGAAATCACAGCAATATAAATTCTTTTGTTCTCCATAAAACCTCATTATGGTTTATTTCTGTGCAGTAGGTGTTACAGAACAGTCTTTTGTAATTTGCTCCTTTAATTAATACAAAAGCTTATGGAAAACGTATAAACGGTGTTTTCTTTCAAACGAAAGAAATGGAGATTTTAATTATAAATCAATAGGTAGTCAAATATAATTCTCTTTACGGCGCACATGTTCTACAAAGACATGTACTGAATTGCTCAGATGATTAAGCAAATTTAACTTCTAAAAAACATAAAGTCGGTGTATAAAACAAAGTTGAGAACTAGTTCGATAAATGCGTTTATTTCTATAAATACTCTATAATGATGCGGTTTTCCCTGCCATATTAACCTGATAATTAATTATTGAAATGAATTTATTAATAACGTATCAATAGATTCTTCATTAAAACGATTAAATCATCGCTGCTTCTTTAAGTGAACGCTTTTTTTCCGCCATAGAATTAGTCTTAGATAAATTTCTTATGTGCTCAGCTGTCGATATTTCATTTGCTATAACGTCATGTAGTTAAAATTACAGTATGAGATTATTGTATTTACACAATGTCTCTATGACCAGTAATTTCGATGCCTAGGGATTAATACATTGATAGTCATTTTATATTTGCAGGTGATAATTAACCGGAGGTTTTATAATTGCTGTCCCGAGGACATCTATGAAAGCCTATAGCAGTACGTTTTGATTTCATCAACATGTTTACATAGTTGTGGAATATGATCGGAAGTTCTTTACGATGGTACATACCAATGGGTCTAGAAGAGCACTTCAATTATGATTATTTTTTATTTTCACGTGTGCTTAATTTTTACTACTTGTGTGTCATTTGAAGTTATAGCTGGTGAACAGTTGAAAAACATAACAATCGGATATTTGACTGTGGATAAACGTATACCATGGCAGAGAGATACTCAGGGAAGGGTTATATCTGGAGCTATATCATATGCTGTTGATCTTATCAATAATGATACGACAGTGTTACCAGACTATCATATACATCTAGTGTGGGGAGACACAAAAGGAGACACCATCACTGGGACAAAATTACTACTTGACCAATGGCGACAAGATGCCGTAGCCTTTTTTGGTTTAGAGGATAGTTGCAGCGTGGAGGCTAGGGTGTCAGCTGCAGTAAATCTCCCGATGATATCATATGTAAGTATAGTTTTCTTATTACCATCCACCCAAAAAATAATAAATGAAAATAAATAAATTCAAAATAAAAAAAAAAAAAAAAAATAAAAAAAAAAAAAAAAAAAAAAAAACACACACAAATGGGTCAATCAATGTTCATACACATATTTTAAATATTACTTTTCACGGTTGACCGTTTTCAGACTTGCTTGTCTATAATTAAGTTTTTCTTTGGTTGTCAGATGACAACAGGTGTATGTTTGTTCTGATGTGTGGTAGAATTTCATAAAAGCATATGACCTTATACAATCTGCATAATGCTTTGCATAATTATTATATCGAACACTTCAATTACGTACCAATTTGGAAACTCTATATAGCCATTTGTGCAACACCAGGACCGCGTGTAATTTCCCACAAAAGAATACATAAGTATTTAAAGTTTCAATAAGTGGCAACTGTTTAATTACAGAAACATTTCCAGCTATTAATTTAAACAGCAACACCATGTCAAACATTTTTCGAACTTATTTGCTCTAAGAATTTTCTGGTAAATTTTATTTGAACTCAACTTTAATGTCAATTTTCTTACTTTCTTCTCTATTGTTTTTATATTAGATTTGAATGACCACGTAAAACAAAACAAAACAGATAATAAGTAGTTAAAAATAATAAAACAATAAAACAATAAAACAAGATCGATTGACCTTACTTCCAGAAGAAAAATCAGACTACAAATAAATATCACAAGTTAAAATAAGCGGCAAATAAAATTGAGAATGGAAATGGGGAATGTGTCAAAGAGACAACAACCCGACCAAAGAGCAGAAAACAGCCGAAGGCCACCAATGGGTCTTCAACACAGCGAGAAAATGCCGCACCCGTAGGCGGGCTTCAGCTGGCTCCTAAACAAAAATAAATGCTTGTTTAGGCAATCCAAGTTTTAGTTTGTGTCAGTATGCCTGTTTATAATTGAATGCATAAAATCATACGTTATTCCTATTAAAAAAATCTTACAGAAAACACATACATCAAATATGTTGTGTATGTTTACTATATAACCAGCAAGTTTGTAATTAAATATCACGAAGTCATTTTCACATCAAATACGTATTGGAGTATTACAGAAAAAAATTGCTTACACTTTTGATCCTTTAAAAACAGGTCGATTTAAAGATATTATTTAATACAGATTCAGATTCAATATTTTTTTATTAAATTCTCACCACTTGTATAACATTATACATTCCAATATACATATAAAACATTGCGTATAACATTAAATATTGAAAAACATATATAAAACATATACATGATGATCAGCTTACAGAACTTGAAATTACGAATTTTTCAGTAGGCAATATACATCGTTAGATAAATCAAAATGAATTTTTACAATCAAATTAAACAATTTAGTCCATTAACAAATTGAAAGTTATTCTGAAATATCCAGTCCCACTAGTTTCGCTACTTAAAGAACCTGACACTCGAAAGTTAGTGGTCATGCATGATTAATTCATGTGTGTGTTGTTTATATCGCAAAAACACGTACAGGTTTCATTTTTAAAAGTTCTAGTAGATAGATAACGTTGTAAACACTTTGACAGGAGTAAATTAAATAAATTTTCCTGATGTAGCTACACTTTCTAAGAATGTTTTAGTGTCAACTGTCTTGGAATGATATCTCAATTGCTAAATATATTTTGCTTTTCATCAAATTGATACGTTACAGCTGTTACTGTGTGGACATTTGAATCGCCATTAAATCATCTCTCCTTTCTGGTTTGATTGCCAAAACATGCAGATCTAACTTATGTTAATAAATGATAACAACCCTATGTAAATACTGCTGTAAAAAAGTAGGTTTGGAGATTGTTCTTCAATAGTTGTTTTTTTTTTTTATTTATAAAGTTTTGCATGATTTAATCGTGAAATATTAAACTCATTAGTCTTCCAAACCTAGATGGAAAAGACTGTTTCTAAATAGAGATATTATCTTAATTTTAAATTCAACATACAATATATGCCACACCTGATTTAACTGGTAAATGTAACACGTAACTTATTAAGTTGCTTTATCCAGGAGCACTACCTATAACACCTATCATCATATTTAGGATCTCCGTTTGGCCTAAGGATATGTGTTGCGATAAACAGCGTTTTATGAGTGATTCTTTCTGCTTTAATCTCTCCATCTAGTTGTGTGAGATAGATTGTTTGTGATTTATTACTAATGCTAATTGATGGAAACTATTTCTTTCTTCAGACAATTAAACGAGATAACGTTTATTTGTATAAGTAGTCATATTAATGTTTTATTCGATTGAAGGTTATCGCCAATAAATTCAGAATGCAACTGCAACGGTTGATAAACTCTGCGTATATATTTGTCCTACGTTGTTGAATGAATAAAACTTCGACAATTGCATTGATCTTCATTTAAAAGGGGGGATGGGGGTTAACTGCATAAAAGGTTACCAATTTCGTTAGTTAAATAGATGGCGTTTGTCTTTTAGAGAATATTATGTTGATGGTAAATCTTAGATGTTCTAAACTAAATGTGAATTAGCCTAAGAACTTGGCAAATCTTAAAGACTTTATCTGAATTCTTACTGTCTTTTGACTTGAGGTGTTACTGGTTTGCACCACAGTTACTCTAAGTTTAAATTTTAGTGGGGCATGAATTGGTGGTTATTTTATGATTGAATGTTTTTTTCGGTAGCGGTTTCTGTAACATAAACCGTTTTTAGGCTTTCGTAATGCCCACTTCCACTTATACTTTTAACTGAAAAAAAAATGCAAATTATAAGACTCTATCAGAAAAGTTTTATGCGTACAGCAAATAGGAAAAATGTTGACCGAATTCATTGTCTGAAGTATAATAGTTTTGTCGAGTATTGTGTAGCTTCAGACATTTTACTATTGATTGCCATTGAGATGTAAAAATGTAATGGCCGATTTCCTAAAAATTAAATACTTGGATTCCATATATGTTCAAATGAAGGCACAATAACATTCTTGATAGCGCTTTTGGAAATTGAGTTTCTCACACTAACCGTTCATCTATATTGAAATGAATTTTATTCGATCAATTGCTATGTTTAGTGTATAGAATGTTAAATGGAACACTGTCTACGAGACTTTTGATTAGTCTTTTGACCTGAAGTTGAATAATATTTGCATTTCATGTTTTTATGTGTGCAAACTAGTAAAAGAAATGAGAGATTAAATGACAGTATGTCAAATGGCTCCGACATTTATAAAAACTGATAAGTTTTAGTCACTTCTCGCCTAAACGTTAGTAACAGTAATGGAGATTCGAGTCTTGTTGGATGTTTATTGTTTGGTTGTGTAGAATTGTTCAGATTACTAATCAAAGGAACATATACAATAATAGGTTAACCTATTGGGTTAAAACATGCTTTACCGGAAAAAGAGGCGGTAAATACAACGGGGAAGAGAAACCGACAACGCCATGAAAAAAACAAAAGACGACGACAAGACAAAAAGTCCACAAAACATCCATATAGAAAACTATATAAGGAGCAACATGAGCCCAACTTATTTAAGAAAAAAAGAGGCGATAGATACAATAGGGGAGGGAAACGGACAAAACACCCCATAGAAAACTAAAGCAACACGAACAACCTGAACTGTCAATTGAAACAAAATCCCACCAACACACACAAACGTAAACACATTTGAATACTGAGAACACTTATAATCATCATTATAATCAACATTATAATCATCATTATAATCATCATTAAAATCAACATTATAAGAATAGCAAAAAATAAATTATAAAGAAAAAGATATATAGTTATATCTGTCATGATAACATTTTGAAGTTAATATCATGTTTTCATGCTAATCAATACTATGATACAAATTGTGAGTTTCTCGTTCTTAATGTCTTCCTAAGATTTCAGGTTTGTCATATTCATTGCTCTGCGAATTCAAGCATTTCTGCTTCTTCGTATTCTTTATGTTTCAATTTTTGTTTTTCGTTGTCATTTGCAACATGTTACACTTTGTAAGTGTCTTGTCTTGAGGCATTTCAGATTCCTAATGTTCTTAGATCATTCTGCTAATGATTAGCTTCTGCTTCGCCCTTTTATCTATGTTTCAAATTTCCTTTGTCTTGCGTTTGAACATGTCGGACTCACTGTCTTCTATCGATTTTTTAAAATGCTTTCCCTTTTCTGTAATCAGAGACACTAAGCTTTTGTTGAATTAACTCAATTTCAAATTTTAGAACCTGACTTTATTCTTCGGTTTGTTTTTCGTGTTGCCTGTGTTTTAAGAAATTCTATTTTGCTTTCCTTTTTATAAGTGAGATTCGTGTCGTTTGCTTAAAGTCTAGTAGTGATGATGTTTAACGCATATTCAGGAAGAGAACAAATTAACTATATTTAGATAAATATGTTATGCAAAGTGCTTTGTCCGCAATGAGCGGCTGAAATTTGAACTGCCACTAGACAATTTGATTATGTTCGATAGGGAAGTAATTTAGCCGCATACATTCATATCAAAGAGTTGTTGCAAGGATTATCTAACGTGTAAAGAGCGCAAATTCCCTAAACGAGGCGTCGGATTTCAGGTCACATTCCAACCGGATGTGACTGCGTATTTATACATCCTTTACTATCAAATGGACGCACCACTGTAGCCAACGTTTAAGTGACGGATGGGGAAGTGCATGGGTTATCATATTTCTATATCTCAGTCATTCCTCATATATATTATCCTTCAATGTCAATAGTGTCAAATAGGTCTGGAATATGTATTTTGATTTCAGATATCTAATTCCGTTGCACTGTTAAATTAAACATATCAACCTACAGCGTTTTCCTGATTTCAGCTTTCTAATTTCATCTTTCATTGGAAACACTCATGGGATATTATTTCTCAGGAACATTTTTTTCAAATTTTCACATATATAATGAACACATTTTGTAATCGTGTGAGTTTCATCCTACACTATCCCTCGCCATACGATGATATGATTATCGATATAT